AGTGGTGAACGAATATTGTTCAATGAATGAATCGTGATGAATGAGTCAACCGCGCTCAATGAATCAATATTGCATTGTTTCATGCAGAAACCTTGAGCTGATGGTGACGGATGGGTGGTAACGGCCTTCATCAAAAAGTGGACTGATTATTGCAGATGATGAATGGATAAAATATGAAAATTGTATACATTTAAAGTGCTTAACGATGTGTAGAATGGTGTCAAGTTAACGAATGCAAATTCCTGAACATTGCGTGAATAGTGTTTAATTAATAGCTTGTAATTATGGTCCGATAGGACGCCCAACGCAGAGACGAGATCAGCTTATATATGCAGGGATGAGATGGATGGTGGAATCCATTGCACCGTGAGGAATGGCGCCGGCGTGGTCAGAGGCCCTTTGTCCAAGTTCTCCCTTTGCTCAACGTCGATCAAAATATCCGAGTGTTGCCAAAGTCAATGATGAATCAAGCAAAAGGGACGGACAGGTCTAAGGGGCTTGAGCACCCAACCGTCAGAAACACTCCCCTTGTCAATATTGCGACCTGTGGGGTTACCAAATACAACGATTATTAGACGGCCTTTGTTCGTGCGCAAGTTGTTTCGAACAATCGTGTAGCCGTGGCTGAAATGATGGCGGTGATTGTCGACTCTGGGGATTGCTTGCAGGACTTAATTTCAGTTGAGTTAGCGGCCAGAAAATTTGTTCCGCATCCGACACACAACATCCAGGATATCTTTCGCTACGGCTGTGGCCTCACTAGTCACGTACCGTACACCTCCCCGGTCTACCAGCGATCCGGACAATATTGTATGAGAAACCGAAGCCGTGGTTACATGTGGATACTGTTGTTGTTGTGGAAAATTAAGACATCATTGGTTGTCCCGTGGAGAGACTGCCCCCCGTCATGGCAATGTGGATTTGACACACCGGGGTCGCCAGTAAAAACGAGCGTTCACAGAGTGCCGCACGTTGTACGGAAATAAAAACTAAAACTACCCTATATTAATGGTATACGGTAGTTAATGGGAAACATTTAAATGAATACACATCCGTCTAGCCACATGCAGTACAAATACAATGCGTTCGGCCCATCGACCTATGGGCACTGCGGAAACATGTTTACCTGCAGATAACAAACAAGTGATTAGTTATTCTTTGGGTTTTTCGGTAAAGTCACGTAGATAGGTTGAAAAAAAAGAGCAAAAAACTACGACGTTTTGATCACAACACACGTGATCGCCATCCTCCCGATCGCTTGTGTTGCGATCGAAACGTCGTAGTTTTTTGTTATTTTCTTTCAACCGATCTACGTGACTTTACCGAAAGACCCAAAGAAAATGGAATCCTGCAGTCACGAAAGATTGAAATCAAGATTTAAGTGGTTAGTTTTGACGTCCGAATCAAATATTGCACACATCCAGATGTCTATGGAACCACAGCGCGATAGAAAACCCAACATCATATACCGCGCAATCCTTTTTGACAATTCACCGCTGGATGAGGGCCTCCTCACTACGCCTTTACGGCCGCGGTCGATGATTGTGTAAACATTTTTCTACACCACGCGAGTCCAGGACCTGTTCATCGGATGCCACTGACCACTGATGTTAGCCGTGGCGGGGACTCGAACTCAGGTCGTACGACCCGCCGGGTTCTTAGTCAACACTCCACACCACACCACAATATTTAGAAGAACCACAACAACAACAAATAAAATACCTGGTCGAAAGCGCGCTCGTTGTCTTTCTCAATTGAGACGGGCGGATCGATGTTCTACCGAGAATGACGATGTCGACACAAACTGGGTCAGTGACTTGGTCGTTTAATCGGGCAGAGAGTGCTGCCCATTGTTATTGAAAACAATCTCCACCCCCTCCACCACCTCCTTGATTAAAAGCTGACACACGTTGCGGGTGGATAAATACACCAACATTGTTTCCCAAACCACCAGCTCATTTGGGGTCTCCATGGGTGGCGTTCCTTTAGTGCGGGTGGTGGGGGCGGTTTCTGTGTAATGAATAAACCTTGCACGTTTACAAATGTACATTTCCCGAGAGCCAGTAAGACTGCTTTTAAACTGGAATTTGCGTTTGGAGACATTATTTGCCTCGCTCACGAATGCGTGGAGAAAATGCGCACCGGACATGACTCGCGCTGAGCCATTGATATTTAAATTCACCTGCAGCACTCGCTTAACAAAATAAGAATCCACAGCGGATGCCGACGATTGTCTTAAACTAAAAAAATATATATACTGTATGGTAGGCGACGTTTGAATCAATGGATCTTCTTCACAATTACGTGTAATGTTATTGGCAAATCTGTTTATTTTTTGTTTGCTATTTGTGCTTATCCACGACTGCCAACGGAGTCTCGTAGCACAATGTTCATCTTAAACTGCTGCTGAACTGGGTTTCTCATAGGCCAGAGAGTCCTGCCCATTGTTTTTTCAGGAGTCCTCATCAGCCATGGTCAATCCACTGCTGGATGAAGACCTCACCAAAAACCTCTGCCACCCTCTCACGATCTTGCGATGTAATAATTATCCATCCAGCACCTGCACATTAACTAATTTCATCTCTCCGACCCATCCCCCCTACCGATTAAAGCTGATAATATAAAAAGTTGTAAAAGGAAATTTAATGAGTTATTGCTCTGTTCTGTCTCCACATATACATAATAACAACATGTTTAAGTCCATTAACTTATTGCCATTCCAGACCAATAGTTTCAAGTACCAATTGTTGAATTAAGCAAGCAAACTGTGGCCCTTTTTCGATATCAACACATTTACACTTCCCTTAGAGCAGTGGTTTTTAACCTGGGGTGCACGCACCCCCTGTGGGTGCTAGACATGCCATATTTTTTTAGAATGTAAATCATCGGAACACACATTAGGAACGGGCACGTAAGTACAACTACTTTGTTAAACATGTATTTATTAACATTATACATTTTTTTTTACCATTGAGAACCAAAGGGGCGCAAAGCTGAAGTAAAGGTTAACAACCACGTGTATTTAAGAATACATAGTATTTTGATTTAAAGCTTTCTTGACTGCAGTAATTCATATTCTTAGCTCTTTCGGTAAAATCACGTTGAAGGGAAACAATAAAATAATACAATATATATTAAACAATAAAAATTCTCACGACATTTCGACCATAACACAAACGGTCGTCATCAGGTGTGTCGGTTTGCATTAATTTACCGAAAGAGCTAAGAATATAATACACAGTATATTTGTGCGTGTATAAAATAGGCGACGCTTCGGGCAATGGTCTTTTAACTGACAATGACCGTTCATAGCAGATAAATCCTTCATGAAAAAGGTGTCATTGCCCGAAACGTCGCTTGTCATATCGTTTCATGTTTTTCCGCTTAGGGTAGCGTTCTTGATAAATGCGTTGAGTTGTTATGTTGATTGTGCACCATTGTCGACGCAGTATCCCACAAACGAAAAGATTTTTAACAGGAAGGTGCTGCGTGCCTGCAATGTTTGGTCAGTTCCTTGGTTTTATTCAACACTTTGCCCATTGCGGGTTGCTAAACAGCGGGGGTGGGCGGTGGGCGGTGGACGTGGTAGGGGGGAGTCCCCAGGGTTGGTTCAGATCGTACCACTGATGTTAGCCACGAGTGGGAATCGAACCGTACAAACGTTGGTCGTAGGCTATCTTTTATAATAGCGAGCTCAAATCACCGAAGGCCAACTAATGGTATTGGATTGTGTTGATGTTCGTTGGCTATTTTTTTACAATTGAAACAAACACCTGACGTTTCACAAAGTCTTGCTCTGTTTTTTTTAATAACTCAATAGAGATAATTGTCTGGCTTCCTTTCTGACGAAGGTGTTAAAATTGAAAGCGTACAAGTTGCTGATCAGGTGCTGCGCTCTCATCCGGCAGCAGAATGCCGTTTACGGATATGGCGATTTTGGATTGTTCAACTGCCTGATTTGTGGAACTGACTGCCCACACAAAGTCTGCTAATGGATCGGATAACTTCGACTTCAATTTTTCGATTTAAAGCTTTCGTGACTGCAGAGATTCCTCTTCTTGGTTCTTTCGGTAAAGTCACGTAGGATGGAAACAAAGTAATACAAATAAAACACAATGATAATTATTATTGGTTCTTTCGGTAAAGTCACGTAGAATGGAAACAAAGTAATAAAAATAAAACATAATAATAATTAATAACAAAGTAATAAAAATAAAACATAATTATTAATTATTATGTTTTATTTTAATAATAATTAATAATTATGTTTCATTTTTATTACTTTGTTTCCATTCTACGTGACTTTACCGAAAGAACCAATAATAATAATTATGTTTTATTTTTATTACTTTGTTTCCATTCTACGTGACTTTGCCGAAAGAACCAAGAATGTGAACTTCGACTTCGTCAGGGTATTTCCAGGAGAGCTTTATATTGCTGTGAACCATTTGTAAGTAGCGCACTAAAATGATAGAAATACATTATAGGGAAAAACAGCAGTGCCAAAAGAGTAAAACAAATCTGGTCACACACACCTACATGATTATAAGGGGCCGTTCATAAATGACGTCACGCGGTTTTGGACGATTTTTGATTCCCCCCCCCTTCGTCACAGCGTCACAAAAAGTCAGACCCCCCCCCCCCCCTTAAATATGACGTCACAAAGCTCTGCCCCCCCCAAACCATATTTCCATTTTGAAAATATAAAACATGCTTCAAATCTCTTTAAACTATTGTCATTGTAGCGCGTATTTAATGTGGCGCTGCACTCTGATGTTGTAGGAGCGTTGTTATAACAATTATTGTTGTTATAACAATTCTATATTTATTTAAAATTGCGCATTTTGATGTGACGTCACATTTCTCAAACCCCCCCCCCGTCACACATCGTCACAAATGTCTGACCCCCCGACCCCTAGGTGCGTGACGTCATTTATGGACGGCCCCATAAGCGGACGCTGTGAACCTGCGTGTGTTGGTGGGGAGCGCTCGAGTGCAGTGAACCCGGACCACCCGATGCAGATTCCCAACAACCCCGTACTTCGAACCGGTTCCTGGCCCTCCTTCCCCTAGGTCGACTCAGCCTTAAAAGAGTACCCGGTTGGCGTTGCGTAATCCCCCGACGGCACTGCGGGAGACAAATGCGACCGGGCGTGGTTGGTTGGTTGTGGATGTCGACCCACCACCCTCTGCACAGGCGCTCTCACTGCCAGCCACGTGGCCCCAATCGATCTGTTGAAGGCTCCACGGGCGAGCCGTGGTGCCGCTGTTGCGACCGATCCCTCTCGTTGGAACCCGACGGCTGTGCGGTCCGGTTGTTTTGCCTCGTTGGAGACTGGCGTCCATTCAACTGTTATTCCACACCACCCCCTTATTCCGTGCCCCGGCTAAAGTCCCAGCGAAATGTGATGCAATAGTTGGGGTATTACACCACCACCACCAACAACTTCAACAACATCACCACCACCAACCAACCACCATCCCCCCCCACACACACACCACACACTGCCCGGGGCACGCAACACCGTCAGCTAAAGCGAGCCACGCAGCAACCTCGTGGGGGCGAGGCTGTTACTGCTGCTCCTTTGCGCTATCTCGCAAAAGTGTGCGTAACACCATTCTGAGTTATCTTCGTGTGTCAACCATCCCAGCGTAAACCTCGCTCGCCGTCACGGGGCAATCATTCGAACGGTATTTGTATTCTCGCAAAGCCTTCGGGAGAAGTCGACACGGAGCATGCCGTACATCTTGATAAGCACACAGATAAGGCTGGTGAGTACTGTAATGCAAGCTCGAAAACGGTACTGTGCCGCGTGTGTGTGTATATAAAAAGGTCATTCGTGTATGGAAACACCACGCTCCTATGCCGATGAGTTTGAGCCTCTTTGGACTAAACGGGCGATCGATTCGCGTGAGATCGATGGCTCTGTTAAGAGGAGCATGTTAATAGCGTAGCACTCTTTAAATGAAGCCCTCTTGTTTTAGTCGGGTGTGTCTATAATACATATGGCACAGGGAGTGTTTTTTTTCGGAGTGTGCTTGGGACCTCGCTTTGCACCACCCCGCATCACGGTCCCCATGCCCTGGGTTCGATTCCCACCAGTCACGCGTGTATATTGAACTTTTTTCGCACCGTACCGTGGCCAACCAATCGGAGGTTTGCATCAAGTGACAATTACGTGGCATCTAAGGGGCCGTCCATAAATGACGTCACGCGATTTTGGACGATTTTTGACCCCCTCCCCCCCTCGTCACACGGCGTCACAAAAAGTCAGACCCCTAACCAACCGTGCTATCCGCAGGGTGCGGGAATGAAATTAAGTACGTCGGTGACACACTTAGAAATCATAAATAAAGCAAAGAAACAACTACGGCCATGCCCGAGAGCACCGAGAGACGGAGTAATGCAATTATCTTGTGTTTTGCAGGCGGATGGTCTGGTGTGCTAACGCTTTACATCACGGCAGTCGTTCCCCTGTGATGACCGCTGCACGGCTTGGGCTGTTTGTTTTGTGTGATCACTGGCATTCCCCCGGATTTTCCCGCGCAGGAATCGGGGCCAACGACGGTTGGTGATGAACTCTCGGATCCTGAACTCATGGAATTCCTGGGAGCCCAGAAGGTCACGGAGCTGGGAAACAACTTGTGAGTGACCTCACCCGCGCGCAAATAAACAAAGACAGCAGTCCCTGGCTTAGCCTCTTCAGAATCCAGAATCTTCCTTTATCCTGGAGGAATTCGTTGAGCCATGAAGCTCTTTGTCACAAATGTCCAGTAGGGGCAGGTCAGCGAGTTAAAACAACAAACAATACAAAAAGCCATAGGAGTGCAAAGTAGAGAAAAGGTAAGCAAGTCACTAAACAAAATCAATAATTAATATTGTATAAAGTATGTATCTACAAATTGCAGAAGTACATAAATTCCTGCCGATTTTTCAACACTAAATGCAAGCTTAGGGAGCTAACCTGAACCTGCTATGGCTCGTATGGCACACATGCCCACTTACTTTTCTCAACATCGATAAAACTGTGCAGATAAGTAAGCGGGCTTTGGCCAGGGCACACGTCGCTGGAAAAGGTTTGGTGGCTGGTGGTCAGGTTTTAATGATGGGAGTGGCAGCCAAGGAAGTGGCGAGTGCATCGACAGAGGAGGAGAAGAAGCTCCCAGCACGTGGAGAGCAAATTCGAACGTCATGCCGAACAACACCTGGTACAATCCGAAAATACATCTGAGAGCTAAAGAGCATTATTATTGTTGTTGTCTGACGTGTCCTGGTACGTCATATTACAGTGTGACGTGGTCTGCAGTAAGTGACGTAATGTGGCGTGGTGTGGCTTGGCGTGATGTGTTGTGGCGTGGTTTGGTGTGGTGTTGGATCGTTGTTACGTGTCGTGGCATGGTTGTGACGTGTCGTGGTGTGATTTGGAGTGGTGTGCCCTGGCGTGGTGTGGCGTATCGTAATGTGATGTGGTGTGGTGTGGTATGGTGTATCGTGGTGTGCTGTGTCGCAGTTCTGAGTACCGCGTGCAGACGATGCCACGCATCGTTCTGGACAAGCTCGCGTCGCGTGGGTACAACGTCGTCTCCATGTGTGGCGTCGGACAAACGCTCATCTGGTGTCTCTACAAACCATGAGGGCACGCGGTTCAAGTCAGCGCTGGGCCGGCAAGCCAACCCCGGCACTCCCCGGCCATGGATAGATCCACCACAATTTGTTTTTTTTTTGGAGGGCGAAAGAAAACTGGCCCTGTTTGCCGGCATCACGGTCCAAATTTGATCAATCACTTGCAGATTACTTAATTTGGAAAAAAAATCACGTAGAAAGATCGCTCCCTACTGACAAATGAATGCAAACTTACAGGCCGATTCTGCCTTCCCCGTTTAGCCGCACAGGGACAGCTGCCACTCGGTTTCCCCTTGGCTAAACTGCAGCAGGGCATTGGAATGGTTGAGATGAGATGTATGTCTATATGTTGAAACTTATTTCGCACCATACATAGCTAACCGTGCTAATCGGAGGGGAAGGACAACAAACTAAACACATTTTTAATGTAAGTTGCTTTGCTTTGCTGAGACATTTTAGCAAGCGCCCTGTAAATGCCAATTCTTACAAATACATAATTCCTTTGTTTCCACTGTGCTGCTGATCATGGTCATGAGTTGTGAATTTTTGTGCGATCTTGACTTTGGCATTCACATTGAAAAAAAAAAACCCCACGTCATTCTTTTAAAGTTGTTTTTCTGTGTGATTCTTTTTTTTACGTTCACCACCCCCTCCAAAATTAGATTCCAGTTGTGCTATCGGAATCACTTCATGAGACAAAAGACATTTACAGTTGTAACTCTGCAGGTTGGGGTGCATCACTCTGTGTTAGCAAACGGCCCTGGTAAGAAGACCTCGCAACTACCCCCTTAAGGTAATTTCCAAGTTGGCCTCTTTATCCACACTCATATATTCCACGCAAGGAGTAATCTTATCATGGCAATTAAAGCTGGAATTTAGCCACGTTTCTATTGTGGGCATTGGCGAATGGCCTGAGACCATTAACTCACTACACTAGAGCACTCACAGGTTGCGTGGTTTCACGAGACAAGGCAGGTTCAGCCTCGAGTTCTCTGTTGCGTTTGGCCGTGCAAGGCCGTTATATCCAATAGGCACAGTAGGCATTGTGCCTAGGGCCTACGGAAAACTGAAGGACCCACGAAAAAGATGTTTACCATGTTTTGTTTGTGTGTATATTCAAAATTGTAACCCAAGCTATAATATTGAGTAAATATATTTATATAGCAAGGATAGGCACAGTGTATATACAAAGAGGCAGAGTCATGTCAATCGTTTTTTTCACAAGGTGAGAAATTAACAACTGGAGACGAATTTAAGAGTTTTTTTTTCATTCCAAAATTTGCAATAACAGCTTCCAATGGTGTTTTTCGCACAATCCTATTCTCAGTAGACAGTAGTACACGGAAAGACAAGCGTTGTTGTCCTATATTTAATCGGAGAGTTTAAGAAAAAAAACTTTAGCAAGTGACAGCGGCGGTAGCAACATGAGGCAGCAGCAGTACCAGCTGTAGAGAATGATCACTGAAGGTCTACGAAACAGAAGTGCCTCGGGCCTACAAGTACATTAATCCGACCCTGAGTGCGTGTTAAACACTAAGAAAAGTACGACCCTCATCAGCAGTCAACCGAGTAGGTTACCTCCCATGTAATGTGACATTAACACCGATAGCCACTGGTTGTGTGCGAATATAATTTTCACCACGTGTGTTGCGGTATAACTGTTCAAGCTCGTACAGAGCGAAATCTGTGGGGGGTCTCTTCCCCCCCTCCCATTTCTACGTAAGTGCGCAAAAAATGCATCGCTGTGCAGAAACAGTGAGAAAGCGTTGGTCGATAGGTCGGCCGGTCATTCGCAGAAGAATGTTAAGGATGACGTTGAGGCTAGACTTGAACAGGAGCAGGGAGTCGACAGCACGGACGGCTGGGGTGGGGGAGGGACATTACAGACAATGAGGGTAGCAGAGGAGGAGAATAAGCGAGTCTCAATTTGTGCTTCGTTTACTGCCGTGCAGGCGTCAACCCTCTCGGACCGATCATGTCGCAACAACTTTTGTGTTATAATTTTCAAGTGATAATACATCTGAAATATTTCTGCATGAAAGACTTTAATAGTACCCTACAAATGTCTGAATGTGTATTTCATTATATCAATGCACAACCACCACGCGCGCGCAGGATTCCAAACATCGATCATCATTATCAGCCCAGGATTAATTCACTGCCAAATGAAGGTCTCCCCAAGCCGTCGCTACCTCACACAAAGCGATTTAGCAATCCGCCTGGCACAAGAGATGATTCAATCGCTCCATCTCCACCGTGGCCGACTTTCTTGGGTCGTCATCTCTCTCTTCGCTGTCATTCACAGATGTCCTGCCCTAGTTGTGTGGTTTCAATCTACGTCCATCGGAGGGCGCCGCAGGCTCCCGTTTGGGATGATCCCCCCTCCGATGAGGGCCTCTCCATGCATTCCGGGTTCCTCTCAAATTATGAATCGAGAAATTGGCCAAAAAATGATTCTGACAAAGCAAGAGCCACCTTTAAAATAAGTCTTCAAACGCAGTTAAGGACTTTGCATATTCATACGCTCTGGATATAAATAAAGTACAATTATTCGCGAGCTTTGAATCTTTCTGGCAAATATTAAACGATAAACACTTCGCGGGCGGTCAACAGTGGCTTATGGATGGACTGGTCCCCCGCCTTACGAATGCGTAATTTCCACAACAACTGGTGGTTAACATCGCCTGCGAGAGCTAGGGAACACTTTGTGACATTTAAATAAAGGGCGCGTTGTTTTTTTAATTTTTTTGTGGGATCAAATCACCCGGAATGCACCTCAACTCGTCAGAAACTGGGAAGCTGAGCGGGGTTGAGCCTGGACACTCTGCCACATCGGCACCCACCACGTACGACACTGGCCGTCACGTGGGCTGGCGGGGCGACGTTAGCCGGGCGGTGGTGGCTACGCACGTGACCTGTCGTCCAAGCACCGTGGAGACAGCAGTGAGGGTTGGTGGATTGCCGCACACTCACGCTGTGAAACTCCGAACCTCCCCGCAAGACGTCGAGGAGGTGCCGTACCCCTGGCTCGCCAGGGGTAGGGGACTAATCGCCACCTTTTGCCACCCGTACGGGGATCGAGTGTTGCCCCCTCGCACCGCGTGGGTTTTCTCCAGGTGCTCCGGTTTCCTCCCGCAACAGTCTGTAACTCCCTTCCCCACAGTCGGCCGTGCTGTCGACTCCCTCCCTGTCCCTGTTTATGTCCAAGAACGTCCTTCATCCTCTGCCTATATAGGATTATTGCCGATAAGTGGTGGCTGTGCACGTGGCCTGTAATCATCCAGCAGGTGGTGATTGTTGGTGGATCGTACAAATATTGTATTGTGAAACTCCCTTTCCGTGGGCGTAGAGGTGCTATACCCTGGCTCGCCAGGAGAAGGCAGTACACCAAGTGGACTAATCGCCGCCTGTTGCCACCTGTACGGGGATAGAGCATTGCTCCCTCGCACGCGTGGGTTTTCTCCATGTGCTCATCATTAATTGGCCGAAAACATCTTAAAATAAAAAAAACAATTAAAACAGCAAGACCCTTCTGAAAACGAGTCCTACGGCTCTGCTGGATTAAAAAAAAACTAATTCCGTGCTTCTCACGCCGAGGCCAGTGCAGCAGCGTGTAAATCCGCACCTTACAAATGTAACAAAAAACACACAAGCCCTGGTGGAGATGGTCCTGCGAGGTGACCTATTTATTTTTCTCGCTCACGGATTACCACGGCAGCACAGTGGGGCCTATTTATACGTTGTATGATGGATTAATGTGCCCTCTTGCGAAGCGCTCTGGAGGGCCATGTGCACGAGTGACGTTCGAGTGCAACTCGTTGAAGCCCTCTCCGCGGTGCCTTGTAAATAATGGTTCATGCCTGCGCGAGTGTGTGAGTGTGGCTGTCTGTGCGCGCACGTGTGTGTTGTACGTCTTAGCTGAAGTGTAAACTACAACACTGGTGAAACGGCCGGGCGTGGCGCTGGACACATCGACCCTTCGTGTGCAGTTCCGGCCTTAATAGGTGCTCGCTAACAGAACTTGCCTCTACAGCCCCGTGCAGGTTATACGGGGAATCTTTGTCTTTGTATGCATTTGTGTGTGTGGGGGGGGAGGCGGGGGCGGTGTGGCGATTTGGTGGAGCAGCGGTGAGCGCACTTAGCTACGATGCCGAACAACATCTCTGTCGAAGATATGAACCGGCTCTGGGCCTCCCCTAGGTCGACTGTGACTTAAATACGAGTCCCTGGTGTGGTGTGCAAACGCCAAAAGTGGGAAGACAAAGGCGGCCGGGCGTGGTTATAGCCACGTGTCGGCTTTCATAAGTGCTCGCCAGCGGCACTTGCCTCAAGAGTGTGATAAATGTTATACTGGGCCTCTTTGTGTGTGTGTATATGGGTTTGCCAAAGTTATATGGAACGGAGTAGGTGGAAGAGATGGGTTCAGGAATAAAGCAATAAGGAGAAGAGCATGGAACTGGACAGGAAGCGTCATGAGAACCTCCGATTAGCACGGTTGGCTATGTACGGCGTGAAAGAAGGTCGACACACACACAAAACAATGGATGAGAGGATTGGGAGGCAACAGTGGACTCCGGAGGTGAGGCCGAGAGAAGGGAAGAGCAGCAGAGGAGGGCCGAAGAGACGGCGGTTTGGGAGATGAAACTAAATAATTCACAGGCCACTCGTGGACAGGAGCAGCTGGGCACAGGAGGCAGAGCAAGCACAACGGGGGAGACATTTGCCAAACAGCACAAAGTTCAACATCATCATCGTCGTCGGCCATGATTAATCCACTGCTCGACGAAGTCTTGTCAAGCCGCTGCCACCTGCGATGTAATAATAATCCACCTCGGGCCTGCACGCACGCACCGCTGAATTCATCGCTCCATCTCCGCCGGGGACTTCTGTCTTGGACGTGTTTCTCTTCTTTGGCCACGGCTCTGTTGTTATTCTTGACCCATCGCGACCATTTAGTTCAGTGGCTCTTAACCTGGGGGTGCGAGATGCCCTTTCTGGGAGTGCGAGACATGGCCAGATTTTTTTTTAGAAGGTAAATCTTTGAAACACAAATTCAGCACGGGTACCTAAGTACATACTACTTTGTTTCATCAAACCTATGTATCTATTAACATTATTAACGTTTTAACGATTAAGAACCAAAAGGGTACAAGGCTGCTGTAAAGGTTAAGAAACGCTGATTTAGTTGGACCTTACAGACTGACGATAACAACAACAACAACACGTGGATAGATACAGGCAGTTTTTTTATTGCACCCTTGTTTGGCTGGTTGGCTGGAAACATTTTGCGAGGACATTAAACTTGTATGCGGGACGCACGGCACATAACCATCCACTGTGACATCACAGTAGTTCTGTCCTGGTTAGACAAAGGCAGCATGTTTTTTTTCTCTCTCACGTGTTTGACTCAATCTGTCTCATTATTATTTATACACAAACTGTTCTCTTTTTCTTTTTTCCCTTTCTGGGCTCTTAAAGGGGTCAGTGGAAACGCTTTGGGGCACGCGGCTGTAGTCAAGCGTGTGATAATTGTTGTAAAGCGTTACAGACATTATTAATGTCACCGCGCGCCTTGGACGGCACGTGGGGTCGCACTGCAGTGTTAACAGTCGTGTCTCACTCACATCACTCTGTCTCCTGGGTTCGAATCCTGACTCGGGCGCCGTTCTGTGTGACGTCTGGTATGCGTCTCACCGTTTGTTCTGCATGGGTTTCTTCCCTGTTCTCCGGTTTCCTCCCAAAGATAATGGAATTTGCGATGTTATTGGTGTTGATGTTGGGCAAACATCCATCTTAGGCGCAGGACTCTCCTGAAAAAAAAGTCTTCGGAATCAGTATGGCTTTCCTGGGTGAATCAGTAATTATTAATTAGCATTAATTGTGCAGCGAGACAATGTAATAATTGCAATAATAATGATAGACTGGCGTTAATATGCACAAGGTAGCCTCATGGACTGGACAGGCATGATTCTCCCAATGCTGTTAACAATATAACACCCTAAAATGCTAAATGAGTTGAATGAATCGTGTGCTGGCCTGGTGGAAAGTTGTTAATACATTATACAATTATTCCACCAGGGTTCTGTTTAATCACCAAAATGTCCATCAGCCAATAGGCCTTGCGAAGCAATATTTCCCAGCACCATGTGTACAAGCAGCAAACTCAGTGCTGGCAATGTTAATACTGCCATATAATAATAATAATAATATATGTTCTTTATTTACCCAGAACAGCCTGAGTCTCAATTAGAAGGGGGCAGTTACCATTGGTCAAGACTAATAACCGAGTTTTTCAGTTTTTTTCAGTTTAATTTATTTGGAATAACCCCGTGAGCCATTCGGCTCTTGATTCGGGTGCAACCTCAACAAACAATACAATTGCAAGATACATTTAAAATTTACTGTACGCAAATTGAGACATCCCCTACAAAAACAATGAAATCTTCCAGAAAAAAAGTACCATTTGTTTATGCTGCGTACGAAACTGTGCAAAAAAAATCCCATTTTTATGTTAGATCACAATAACAATCATAATACAAATTTCCATTTAAAGCTTTCGTGACTGCAAGGATTCATCTTCTTGGTTCTTTCGGTAAAGTCACGTATAATTATTTTGTTTTATTGTTTTATTCTCATTCTACGTGACTTTACCAAAAGAACCAAGAAGAATCATAATACAATTTAGGTAAACTGATAACTCTATACTACATAAAAAAAAGTCGGGCTAAACTAAACCTTTCTAGAAATTACTAAAATAATGCTATAAAAACAATGAAACAGTGATCATAAGAAATGTGATTGAAAGTTAACAATAACGACATACATAACATATGTTACTAAACCTAGCCCAGGAATGGAACACGTCCTAGGAGAGGGAACGATTAATCACGGAGACGGAGCGATGAAATAAGTTAATATGCAGTCTCATGGTGGATTATTACATTGCGGGACCGTGAGAGCTGCATGCAGAGCGGCTCGAGGAAGGCCTTCATCCAGCAGTGGATTGACCATGGCTGATAATAATTATAATTATTAGAAGAATGGGGGTGGAGGGGGTGGAGGG